TCAGAACTATGTACCAGCCAGCTTTTCTTATTTGTTTCTCTGTTCTTGAACTTTACCCACTGCTATCAGTATCACTCTTGAGAGCTCAGAAAATTCAACATATTAGTTTTTTTTCTAGAAGAATCTGTTGCAAGAGGTGCTGTAACAGCACCCCCTGCCCACCCCTCATTTTTAAGGACAGTTCATCAGCCAGGGTGAGTAAAACACAGTCCTGAAAATGCATCTGGCCCTGTGGATACCAGACATTATCTGAAGGCTGAAAAAAGTCCATTTTCTGCATCAATGGCAAAAAAATAGGGCATGGAACGGTCGCTGACTTTAATAGGAGCAGGACAGGCTGAAGCTTAAAAGGAATCTGCTCCAGATGACCAGTCTGAGCTTATGATTTATTATCACTCTTGCCACAGCAGTGTTGTAGTAGATACCACATTTGGGTGAAAGTCTATATGGGCTGTCAGAGCTGTTGCTTGTGTGCTTTCTCTCCTGTAATAGGACTAAACACTCTGACACCTTCTACCCAGGAATATTTACTGCCACAGCCGTGGAGAACTATCAAATTAAATTTTCCAACCAAGGCAAGTTTCCCCCAGTCCTGTTAGAGCATTACAGATTTACTCAGTGACAGGTAAGGAACTCCAGGCCATCAGCATTTGTCGTGAGCTTTGATTTCTGGGTAAAAAAGTTCAAAATAAAATCCAAGTTCAATAACTGCTCCCGTTGCAAAACGTGTGTCACCCACAAAGATCCGTCACATCCAGCCAAGTGCTCTCATTTACAATTTGTCTGCAGGTGGCAAACTAAACCCAGGAAATAAGTACACTGTAACAGAAAAGTTAAATGTTAAACAGAAATTAAAAGCTAAACGAGCATTTTCACATCAGAGGAACTTTGACTGTGCTCCACTGTACAGAAAAACTTCCAGAGCACTTCAGCCCATGCCAAAAAGATCCTTTCCAGCTGATGTAAAATACCATCCTCCCCTTCCAGATGCTTTCCCCCCTACTTTACCTCCACGATTACAGTGTAAGCAACTCTGTCATTGTCTTTATTTCTCCCTCCTACTCCTTGAAAATTGGGAATGGCAGACACAAAACCAATTATTGGTGTGTTGTATCAAGATGTGCTTTCCTGGAGACATTGCTCATCTTTAAATTTAAAGGGCAGTGAGTAATCTCTTCCATTATTTCTCTTTCATTAGGGAAATAATTGTCTGTGCTGGCCAACTTGTGGAAGTATAATACAGCAAAGAGCAAGTAGGAATGTGAACAAATAGGATGAGTCAATATTGCTTTTGTGAAGAAAATTGTAACCAGAAATCTCCTGGAGTTCTTTGAGGGTGTTTATGAGCTTGTAAACAAAAAGGATTGGTCAACATATCATAGTTGTATTTCCAAAAGACTTCCATTAAACTTCTTCACTAAGTGCCTTAAAGAAGAGAGTCCACCATGGGATAAAAGAACTGCTTCTTTTGTGGATTAACAATAGGTTATAATATAAGGAACAAAAGGTAAGGGTGGTTTTTATTGGTTTTCAACAAGGTTGTAAAAGGATGTCTCTTAGAACTGCTTATATTCAATAGCCCTACATAACCTGAAAATGGGGGTGAACATGGAAAATTGCTGAGGATAGAAATGTGTTTGCAATAAACAAACTGGAAACTTCTTTCAAAGAAGTGTAAAAAGCTTCCAGGACATCTAAAAATGGTAGAAGAAATACATTGGGAGAGAATTTGTGACTGGATACATTATAGGAGTTAAGTAGATGGTGATGATTCAACAATGGTGGATGAAGAAGGGCAAAAGGTGAGATAAACCTATGAAATTATGAGCTGCTCGGAGAAGATGAACATGGAGAGATTATTCAGTTTCTTTCAATATAAAGACAAAGATGTATATAATGAAAAAAGTTGGCAACAGGGTTAAAACAAATTAAAAAAATATATATTTTTTTTCAGCTCAAAATAAAGAATTGGTTTGAGGAGCTCATTGCCCCAGGATATTTCAGTGGCTGAAACTGTGAACAGACTGGAAAAAGATGCATTGAGATAAGTTGCTGTTGCTGCACAAAGCTAATACATGAATTACACCTGATCAAGCCCAGGAAGCTCTGAACTCCAGAAGCTGGGAAAATCAGCAATTTATAATTACCTTTTCTCTTGTGGATGCCATCCCGGTGAACCTGCTACCAGCTACTGTCAGGAACAAGACAGGGAGTTACCTGAGTCTTTGATCCAGCATAGTACAGCAGTTCTTTCATTTCTATGGGAGTAATTCCATGGCAGGACCACCACCTGCACCTGCTTGGAGTGCCTGGAGGGGAGCTGGATCTGCATACGGGCAGGAGGCTACAATAATTCTGGATTTTATAGCCATTTATGCCTCCAATTGCTTGCATTTTGTCTTCAATATACCTTGCTCAGTATCAGAATGGCATTACCTGTTTGCAGTGATGTGACATAACACCATACAAAAATGATATAATGTATAAAACCAAGTTTTGCTCATCTTAATACAGCCATTGGAGCGAGCTGATGGCTGTTCTTGGCTGAAAGGACATGGCCATGGTGGAGCCAAACTCAGGGTGGGAAATCAGGGATGCTTATCAGCATGGGGGCTAAAAACTGTGATGAAGAAAGAGTTGATGCACTGTGACCACGAGCCTCAAATCTGCCCTCTTTTCCTTTGCTGATAGAGTAAGAGGATTAGGAGTTTTTTGGAAGGTGCCTGGCCGTGAAGGACGTCCAGAAAACATCCTGCTCCTGCTCCTGTTCAAAGACCACGGGAGTCAAAGGGGCCCTTTCCTGCAGCATTTTGTGTTTGAGATTCAGTTCCTGAAAAGATTATCCACGGCAGACAAGTGGCAGGGGAGCAGTGCTTCCTCAGCCACTGATGGCAGATCCAAATCAGCTGCTCAGACAGCAAAGACAAGAACAGTTTGCCAATCTCTAGGCCTGGCTCAGCTCAGTGTGCCCAGAGACGTGTCCTGCCCTCCTCCCCATCGCCCCTCAGAGCTGCTGAACTGACCAAACTCAGTCCCGTTCCTCAAAGCTTCCCTGTGAGTGTGGTATCTGCTGCAAACCAATCCCCTGAGAGTTGTCACTTGCACATTATTAACAACCAGAGATACCACCTCTGTGTGTGTTAACTCTCAGCTCCGTCCCATAAGAGGCTGCTTTTCCAGTTATTTGGGAGTGTGTGGGTTGCCTTGTCACGTTGGTTGGGTAATGAAAGGGTACAGAAAACAGCCTGAGACCTGGTGCCAGAGACATGTAATTATTGCTGATTTCAAGAGAGCTTGTAAGCTGGGGTTTCTTTATTATTATTTGTGCTATGACAATTGTATCTGAATGTTTACCTTTTAGCCTTATCCCTGATTTAACAAGCTAAAAAGATGGATGCACCAGCAGGGTTTCCAAGGGGAAAAGAGTGTAATAGAGCTTTTAATCCTCTTTGCTGCTGTGTGAATGTTTCTGAAAGCACGGCCTACAGGTGCTTGCATTTTACCTGAGAGACTGTTTAGGATTGTTTCTGTCCTGTATTTTTTACCAGGGCTTAATATCACGTAATAAACACATCATGGCACAAGGCTATGTGGTGACACGGCCCCTTTCACACCCCAGATCAAATTCCATGTTAATGGATAACACTGCTAATGCAGTAACACACACCTTTACATTCCAAACATATCTCCACTTTCATTTAGCTTTAGCAAAACACGGGGTCAGATAATTCTGCAGCCAGCCAGGAGCATTCCAAGTATCAGAGGCCATGTGTTTTCTACCAGAGAATTGACATCCTTATGGTGGGTTGGAGTGAGAGCCAACTTCTCTGCCAGGAATTATTAGAAACAAGATGCCAGTGTTGCTCTACATTGGAACATTAAAAATCACAGCAATTTCTACAACACAGAGAATACTCTGTGCATCTACTTAGAGGGGAGAGCACTAAGTGAAGTTTTGAGCTTCATCCCTTCATCCCCATCAGCCTGACAGTGGATTTGCAAGGCTCACATCAAACATTCCCGGAGTCCTGCCAACATCCATCACCTCAGGTTAGAGCAGAATGAAACCCAAAGATGAACCTGTGACTTCCTTTTTCTTTTGTGAATCTCCTGTATCCTGAGGCACAACAAATTATCAAACACACAAAAATACCTGGGCACAATTCAGCCTGATTTCAGTCCTCCTCAGCAGCAAGCACTGCTTTGTTGGGCCATGGTTTGGGTGCATGTGCAGCATCTGAGGTGAGGTGATATTTTAGCTACCTCATTTCAGATTAACAGAACTTGGAGGCACAATTCAATCCTTTGTGACAGTTTCAATGCAAGATTCTCCCCACTCCTCCCTCTCCCCATAACACACTCTGGTGAGTTGTTGGTAAGGGACTATAGTCAGATAAAATGTTGATGTTTAGATGAGTTTACTCACTTTTCCTCCATTGTTTTTAGGAAAAAACCCAACCAAACCAAAACAAAATCATAAGCAAGGGAACAACACCAACACACACACACACTTTTTTTTTTTTTCTACTTTTTTTTACGCACCTGGTACCAGGAAATTTCTAGGATAAAGTTAACTTCCACTACCTGAAAATCTACAGAAATTCTGGGGGAAGCACTGCGTGTTTTTGCATTCAGCCATCACTTGAATGGACTGTAGTGCACCTGTAAATTGTTGCTAGTTTCTAGGGATGGATTCCAGGTACACACTTGGTTATCTACAACTGCATTGAGGAAGGGTGTGTTGAAAAGCCAGCCACCGTGCTTATAAACTGAAGATGGATTGTGGAGGCACAGCACATATTTAATTTGCAGGAAAATACATGTGAGCAAAGATCTGAGCGCTCAGGTTTTGTCTCTGAAAAGCAGAGGCTGCTGCAATCACCGTTCGGTTGGGAACAAAGTGGGGAAGAAGTTGAGAGAAAAAAAGCAGATTCCGTGACTAAACTACGGTGCAAATGAGCTGTGAACCATCGGGAGTGAGAATCTGGCACTTGCCTCACCTTTTCCGTGCTGCTTCCTCTCCTGCTGCTTGAAGATAGCCAAGAGCTTCCTTTTTAATCAAGGACCATTGGAAAGTACCAGCGGGCTCCCACTCACGGCGCTTTGATTGGCTGCCAACCGCAGTGACAATTGCATCCTGTAATCAAAATAGCAATCATTAATAGCACAATTATCCCCCCCTCTCACACGCACATGCCCTCCCGTGCCGGGAGGGACGGCTCTGAAATGCAGACTGCAAACAATGCACCCTGCAAACAATGCACCCTGCAAATAATGCAGTCTGTAAACAATGCACATTGCAAACAATGCACATTGCAAACAATGCACCCTGCAAACAACACACCCTGCAAACAACACACTCTGCACACACCCGGCTGGGGGGCAGGTGCCCATTCCAGCTCGCTCTGGGTGAATCCTTTTTCAGAGGCTCCAGGAAGAAAGGTGTTGGTGGCAGAGTCTGAGTTCAAGGGACTGACTGGAAATCCAAAAGAATTGAGATGGGAACCCAGGTTGGTGCAACTGTCATTTTTTCTCAGTGCCCCTTCCCCCTCACCCCATCCCTGCCCCTTGAACAGCCTATGAGAAATAAAAATACTTTTTTTATATAAATAGGCATATCGTGAAGTTGTAAGATATCCAAGTTCCAAGACCTGAACTTGGGTATCAGGGTGTCTTTCACCGAGATAAGGGAAATGAGAAAATTCTTAAAAATTAAATCTTTTAGGGTCATTTTGTACATGAGGTTCCTTTTCTCTTTGGGCTAAGAACAAAGGAAGATCCATCACCTCTGACAGGAGATGGCTTGCAGCCAACTGGGAAAATGGAAAAGCCCCTTTTCAGAGAAAATAAACCTTTTTAGGTAAAGCTGAATACATTAAAACTTATCTGAAAAGGGTGGGATTTTGTGAAACTATAAAATGTATGGCATTTAAACCAAAGGTGTCTTTTTCCCCGGAAACTCGGTGAGAGAAAGACCCAATGTGTTGAATAAATTCTTCCTTGTTGCTTTGTTCCCTAAGTTTATGCTGTCTTTCTAAATTTAAAGAGGGGCATATTTCCCACAATCCCCCACCAGGTTCTGTCTGAGCTGTTTGCATCCAGCTGGGAATTTCCTTGCCTCAGGTTCCCTTCCCCATCACTGACCGTGTGCTGTGGCCATGGGGGAAGATGGATTTTGGGGGGGGTCTGACCTTCTGACTCTTGGAGCACAGCTGGGGCAGTTTATTCTGAAGACACCCAACCCTGCTGCCAGATTTCCTTATGTTTTCCCATCCTCACTTGCTTTCAGGTCCCTTGTAGATGTCTCATTACTGCACAGGCTCTTCCCTATCCACACCCAGCACATGGACAGGGTCTCTTCTCCCACTCTGGGCCCTGTGCTGTCTCCTTTGGACATCCACCTTCATCAGTGGCTCAGAATATTCTGTAGCACATCTGCCTTTTCCCTTTCTTTTGAGTGTGAAATAAATCTCCACAGAAACATATCCGGATGAAAGATGAATTCTTTTGAACCTTAACACTTGCAAATCAGGAAAAAAAATATAGATGCTGAAGCTAAATGCCATCTTCAAACTCGATTTCTTGTTAGAGCTGGGTGGACAATGAACTTCACAGAAGACAGGAGAACAAAACTAAAAGTGATGTGAAATCTCTATGTACTTTAAGTTGTGTTTGATGAAATAAAAATGAAAACTTCTCTTTACCAGACAGTATCTGGTATTCCTTTAGAAATTTGGTTTCATTTCACTCCCTGGTTATTCAAAAAATATTCACGACGGAGGTTAATTTTTAAAGGTTGCTATTTTAGAACAGAGAGGTTGCAAAGTGGTGTTCTGAAATGCCAAAAAAAAAAAAGGTAATGGCAGTCTCAAAATCCACACTTTATTCCTTCCCACCAAAAGTATGCACTGAGTTAAAGACTATTTTGTGTATAATTTTCATCTCTCTAATTTTCGGTTTGTTTATTTTTTCATATTTACTCCTTGCAAACAACCATCCATTCCTTATACTTACACTGTCTTTTCTGCCTTTATAAACACCCTTAACCATCCTTGAGGGAATCAAAATCTGGAGGACTCCAGCTTAGAACAATTGACATATCTCTCTGTAATTTGAGATCAGAGCTGTTTATGGAGTAGTGAAGATCCAGCTAGCAAATGATGCCTATTTCCAGCATGGATAATGTGCAAGGTTCTTTCTTTCCCTTCTCACTTGATTTCCAGGTTTTTACAGGTGAAAGAAACTCTTCCATAAGTAATCAGTATGAGATAGAAAAACAAGCCCCTCACATTGGGAAAAGTATTTCCTTGTCAGCCTGCATCAGACTGACTTATTAGCAAGTCATTAGCAACAAGTAAATCTCCAGAGTTTGGAATTTCTCTCCATTCATTCCAGATAAATATTTAAATGTGTTTGTCTTTATTACATTTCTCTGGGCTTATTCTAATGTATTTGGCCTGGAAATCAGACTGAGGGTTTTGGAGTCTGGAACAGCTTGACAGAGCCCACAGCTGAAAGCAGAATAAATTAGTGGTGCCTGGTGATTGTACTGGATAGCTTGACAAGGCATGGTGTTGGAAAAATCCATCAGATTTAGGACCTACTGTGGAAGAAAGTAGAAATGTAGACTCTTAGAACCACTGAATAGAAGGGACATTAAAGCCCATCTCGTTCCACCCCCTGCCATGGGCAGGGACACCTTCCACCAGCCCAGGTTGTTCCAAGACCCATCCAACCTGGCCTTGGACACTTCCAGGGATGGGGCAGCCACAGCTTCTCTGGGCAACTTGTGAGGCCTCCCCACCCTCACAGGGAAGAATTCCTTCCTAATATCTCATGTAAACTCTCTCTCTGTCAGTTTGAAGCCATTCCCACTTGTCCTGTCACTCCAGGCCCTTGTCTTAAGTCCCTCTCCAACTTTCTTGTAGAAGGATAAGAGCTCATTTGTACTGACAGGAACTGCACAGACACACATTTTGTCCAATTACTGGTTTCCTCAAGGCTCACTTGCACCCCACAGCCATTTAAAGCCACGTCCAGGGTTGTTTGTATGGCCAGGCAGAGGTACAGCAGTGACATGAAGAATCACACACCTGAACCACAACAGCCAGGCTGGTCCTGTGCTGTGGGACCTGCACCCCTCCTGCTGCTCCTCTAGGCAGCCCTTTCATCCAGGTGATGGTGCTTGTGCTTCAAGTGAGAGCAAGGGCAGGAAAATCTAACCCAACTTTTCAAGCCTAGTAAATAGTTCAGGCCACTTTTGAGAGTCTCTTTTGTTACAGCTTGTTCAGCTGCCTCTAGAGCCCTGCAGCAGAAAGGAGGACTTACGGCTTAAGAAGAGAAAAGGTCTTTCCCTGCTTGATTCTATTAATAAGTGCATCTATTTCCAGGCAGACACACTTTTTATTGGTAACAACTCGTTCTGACCTATATCAGGGACTTCAGCCAAGGATGGCTATCAACCAGGATGCATACCAACCCTCAAAGAGCAAAACAGCTCCCTAAGCCACAATTTTCCAGCAGCTGGACTGTTGGAAGGAAGGCCAAGATCTTCACAAAAGCAAATACTGCCTTACAGAAGCTTTGCCTTGAGGGGAAACTTGCACTGCTGCGAGCCACTCCAGCCACTGGGCTCAAGGCAATTCCCAGTGGAAGGAAAAAAAAAGATAAATAAAAATTGGCTGGCTCCCGTGCTACACAAAGAGACACAAAAGCACAAACATGTGCAGCACCGCCTGTTCTAAAAGTGCATTATTATTAAGTGGAAACAGCAGCCAGATCCATCATGTTCAGCATGCCCCACATCACTGCTCCACTAAACACCACAGATTATTTCCCTGTAATTGCCTTCCTGAGCTGTCTAGCAGCCTCGATTCATTTCCATTAAGGCTCGGGAGGATGAGATCATTTAGTATTTCCACATCCCCCCTTTTCTTTTTTCCCCCCCTGTTTTTGTAAATTCGGCAATTACGTGCTCGCTGCCACCCCCTCAGTCGCTGAAGGTAAAATTTAGCACCTGGGATCGCAGGGGAGCAGCTGAAACAATAGTGAAGTAACGACTGCAATTTTCACCATGTCTGCTTTCCTCCTTAACTTGAGAGGGAAAGATATTTATGCCCCGCAAAATTCGACAGACAACAGCTTCCCTTCAGTCCCACCCCTTCACTTTGCACAGAAGGACTCGGTGGAGCAGACACCAAAAGTGAAAAGAAAGCAGAAGAAAGCCCTGTGGCCTGGTACCATCCAAGAGCTGACACCAAACTGATAAGTCATCTGCTGATTTTTCACCTTTGGTAGCTGCAGAGTGTTAATTAAAACTATTCTGGATGTAGATTAAGTTTCTGCACTCGGAAGTTATCATCAACGCCTCACCTGCCTTGAATGAGAACTGCACATCCTGTGACAAATGGAGTGAAGGTTTTGCCTGGTTTCACTAAGTGTCTGCAGCTTCCTTTGGAGGATTTATTCCTCAGCAAAGTCTGTGTCATCTCCTGTGCTGCCACTGAGCACAGAGTGGGGTCTCCTCCAGTGTGGCACAGCCTCCACCTGCTCACAGCAACAGAAACACTCGGGCGGGTTCGGGCGAGATGGGATTTGATGCCAGGATCATCTCCTCACAGAAAAATACATATTAAGTGAACAATCCTTCCATCAGACACATTCAAATCCTTGAACTTCTGCCAGTCTGAAAGGACTGCTAATGTCTCTATTACAGTTTCAGAGCTGGCTTTGTCTCACCCATGCTCTGCTTTTGAGGGCAGGATCCAAAATGCCGTGTTGCCGCTTCAGTTCTTTTTCCTAATTTTCTGCACGAGTTTTTTAATTCTAATTTTTTTTCCCCTTCTGATTACTGGTAATCTTATAAGGAGCTATCAGATATTTCAAATCTTTCCTGTTCTGGTAATTACTACACTTTGATGCAGGAATCTTTTGATGTTGCTACAACCTCATTTTTTCCATTAATTTCCCGTGTCACTGCTGTCAGAGTCTGACCTGATCTGACCCCGTGTTCCCCCAAAACGGGGGAACACGCCGTGTTCTGACTTCCAGACAGGAGCCCAGGAAGGTTTAGACAAGGCTTTTCATCCTCATTCCATGGCTCAGCTATGTAAGTTCCAGGTAAAACTTGGACCCACA